TGTATATACTCGTAGACATGTACTTATTTACCTCATCTGTGATGGTTTAAATATTGACTTGTATCAGAGAGATAATAGATAACTAAATCAAAACTTTAACTTTGACTTTCAAGATAATCACCTTAAATTATGGGAACAAAATTAAAATTCATCAAAATTTATATTTCCATACTAAAATAACATTTCGTTAATCTTGAACTTGTCCGATTATTCAATTTAAGTCAATTTACACATATTAAAAACCGGATATTTATTATTATAGTATCCAATATGCAAAACAGGCAGATACAAATTTCTAAAAAAAAAATAATGATTACCCACTAATCCAATATTTTTTAAGTGAATTCGGATCAAGTCTATACGAGCCTATGTTGATAGACTAAATTTAAAAATAATATATACGATATATATTAATTTAAAATTTTGCGAGATCGTATCAATATTTTATGGTTAATCAGATTTATTAAATGCGGTTAATTGATTAACGTCAGTTTGATAAAAGAGCTATATAAGTACAGGTTTAAATATAACCATTTATGTATAATATACGATTTATGCATAAGTTGTACTAATTAATAAATAAGCAATTCTCTATGCTCTAGCAAAATGTATAAAATACGTATTTTTTATATATTTAACTTAATATTTTTATGCAAGACATGACATTGAATAATTAATATTAATGAAAGCAATTAATTTTAATAGGAACATAAATAAAAAATAATGTCATCGTGTTGATGCGTTATTTGTAAATTTGCACATATTTAGCATTGAAGAAATAAAAACAAATCCTTCCCAACACTATAAATATACTGTACGTTATCACACTTTGCGGTGAATTGTTATAAAATCTGACAAAAAAAGTTTGTAACAAAATGTGTTTTAATTTATTAATACTACTTATTTACTACTTTTGAAAATACTTAATAATAAATAAATTTATATGTATTATGAATGACCTTTATATGGTATGAAGTTTCATGAGATCTAGAGGTCACTAATTATAAAAAAAATCAATTGATAACGAAACTTTTCAGTTAGAATATATAAATGTTCTACTACGTCAAACATACAGTTATTATACAGTTTTTTGTTATTATTTGCCTTTCATTAAATTAAACTTGATTCAATAAATCAAATATCCATCTACATTTATGTATATATGAATTTATTCATTCTGAATTAATTTATTTATATTCGTAGATAAGCCTAACTGCGCAATACATTCTGAAACCTAAATATAAGTAAGTATATAGACCTTCCATAATTAGGTATCTTCTCAATAGATAAACTAATAACTAATAAAAACCTAAACATGATTCTAAGATCGAAAATAGTTAATATTAACTGTACAATTTAAAATTGTTGGTCAAATAGATAGTCAATGTTTTAATAAATTAGTCAATAATCAAATTAACATAACAATATTATTTAAGATTGCATACAAAAATAAATTATTAGAATTAAATGTAATTAATATTAGAAAGAAGTTTTTTATAACCGACAAACTATTACCAAAACAGACTATTTCAAATTATAAATAATAATAATATTTCATTAGTATCAATGTAGAATAAAAAAATTCATAGATACCTGTTATTCGTAAAGAATTATAACGCTTTTTTTCAATATCAAATATTATATTCTATGTAGTATAGTATCTAAGTATCATATCTATCATCGTAATAAACGTGTAAAACTATTAATGAGGACGAAACATAAACTTTGTTGGTACATAATATTTAATTAGTACATAATTATATCGTTTCATTATTCAATGCGTGCTAAATAGAATCCGGAGGAGCTGGTAAATTAACCACAGTTTTGTACCACCGAATTTTAATTGTACTGAAGTGTGTTCATGTTCATCATGCAGCTGAAAATATTTCTACTAAAACTGTTCCGCTATATATAATTAGATAAATAGGTAATAGCATTAATTGTATGTAATTACAATGAACGTAAATACTATATACGAAATAGACTCTTGTGTTTTGAAAATAGTCACTAAGATATAAAATATGTAATGCTTTGTTATCTTGTAATAAACAATAACAGCGTTTGTATAACAAAATATATAAATTTTACCTTAATATTACGTTCGATTTTATAGATCTAACATGTTATAAACATGTTAGATCTATAAAATCGAATTTTACGAAATATCACTACTACTATGGAATACCATATAGCGCGATTATAAAAAGGTAACTAGTATACCAATTTACGTATATTAGGCAGTCATTAGATAGTATCACGCTGTCCGGTGGCGCTACGCATCGGTGCCCAGTAACCTGTCTTTACCAGCAGTTATGTACATTAATAATTGTTCATATTTTTTGCTATAGTCAGTATATGTCACGCACAATTTATTTGATTGTCCTCTAAAAAATAAATATTATGATTGTTATATATCATTGAGGTATTAGAGATAGATATGTATAGTTAAATGCAAATGAAATGTAAACACATTTCGTTTATTGTCTTAAACAGCCTACACACGAAAATAAACTCAGGATACAATCATAAAGTTTTTTAAAACTTAATCACGCATACGATACGTAGAAGTACCTTGGTAATAAAATACAAATAAGTAGAGAAATATTATATATATAGTTATAATAGCTAATTAACAATATTGCTTGTTTTATATGGAGCTTATTAGTCTTCATGAAATCTAATATATGCGTATATTAGATTTCATGAAGACTAATACGCTCTTCTAAAGTTCTCATGATACAGTATTTGTTATCGAACTCCTCGAAATTAAGCTATTCTTCGGTGTATATTTGGTAATATATCTCTAAACTATTTTTGATACCCCTAAGTGATAAGGATGGCCTATCTAGAAATAATTTATGTGGCAGAATAAAATTTACCGGGCCAGCTAGTAACAAAATAATTTTCAATTGTGTAAATAAATACCATCATGAACTTATAATAAATAACGCACATGGTGCAATAAATTATGTCAACACATTTTAATTGTATCTCATTGACATTAATCAAGACAAAATAACATTTTAATTTGTATAAAATCTAGATAAAAATTAAGGTTTTCACAGAAAAAAAAACAACTTGTTATTTCAATATATATGGTCTAATTTAAATGAGAACCAGAACTAATCAAATATGGCCTTCTTCAATGGATCTAGCTGAGATATAAAATGAAAATGTCACCTGTCAGGAATTCGTCTGTGTTTTAATTTTGACACTGGTATTAATATTCTTTTATTACTATTTTTTTCATGTAGTTATTGAACTGTAAAATGCTTGGCAGTGTTCCGGAAAGTGAAATTAGCAATTAAATAAATTATTTTGTCTAAGAACAATAACAATAGAGTATAGTAGTATAGTGCAATGGGTTGAAAAAAATGAAAAGAGGAAAAATTTTAAAAATAATTAGCGTACATCACTCTAATAAGTACTCAAATTTTCTCTATTAAGTAGTAAAAGTATGTACAAGATATTCTATTTCAAAAAGGTGCGTAAATATATTTTCCTATATAAATATCCCCTTTTTGGAACAGAATTAGGCTGCTAATTAAATTGTTTTTTTTACATAAATGTCGTAGCTCATTCTCGTAGAGTTTTTACAAGATATTTAAACATTATTATGTTTATTAATGTAATTATGTAAAATGTTATTTTAAAAAAGTTATAGCAGTGTTTTTTGTTAGTTCTTACCAGCTCAAACTACAATCCGAAATGATGGTAGATTTATTTAATTCAGACATTAATACATGTCTGAACCTATATTATAATTGTTTGAATTCTCTAATATTCCTATTAATGACGTGTGATCGAAGATCTCAGAAATAATCTCTCGTCAAGAGTATAATGGACAAAATAAAATTGCCTGTTTGAATTTATGTCTACTATGATAATGATAACCTTCTTTAAACCTAATTACTATGTCTTGAAATAGACAATTGCAATGTTGAATAAAATTTGAATGATCCATAAAGTACATAAGTATAATAAAAACTTATGAACTAGCTTTTATTGAATTTGTTTATGTGGTCAGTAACTTACAATGTAAGCAGTTAATGGACGCATGAAATCACTGCAGTATTCATTAAGTTATATGAATTATCTTAATATACAATTTAATATTAACGCATAATACATATTATGTAGTAATATGTTCTTATAAATGCGAAGGCAAAGTTCTATACGTATGGTTATATTGTTGTTTTATACGTAATTTCATTATCTGCTAATAATTGTACCGAATAAAGTATATAAAAAAATATAATATACTGAATAACAAATGATTTTTATATTATGATATTGTTTAGGCAAATAAAATGATAGTCTCTTTATTATAATTTGTATTCATACTTCCATTAGCATACACAGCTCTATATTAAATAACTGACACATATTTTATGAGTAAAGAATGCTGCTCAGTGAAATAATCCTGTGAGGGTTAATTATGCATTCTGTGTACTAATGCAATAGCTAGGTATAACAACCTACCGGTGACAATGTGTCTGATTGCAGTTATATTCAAATGTGTTATGTATTTAGGTCTAATGCATACTAGACCACTTCGTAGCTGTTTGCCAACATCAATCCTACCTGTCTTATAATGAGATGTTAATATTCGACATCTATGCAACATACCATGATGTCTGAAATAAAAATTCGTCACGGACACCAGTTTTGCATTCATTGTAATACGTTTTTTTATGCAGAGAAAGCATACCCTCGTGTAATTCGTAGTTATATAATTATTAAATATTTAGATAATCCATATTTGCATATATATCTACATGTTTCTTTTACCTAACAATAAAACGAACTGAGATTGCATAAAATAGAATGTAAAAAAATAAAACTGAAAAATAAAACGATAAACTAATTACATGTTTTCATGAAAATTAAGTATAATTAGACTATAATAATGTTGTCGATCAAACGAAATAATGTAAACAATGAAAACATTAATACAGAAACTTAAATATAAAAACATTTATAACAAAACACAAACGCACCCTTTATCAACCACGGGCTCCGACAACTCCAGGGGTTATAGTATTAGTATTGTAAAATGCACTGGCAACGTTTATAACACAAGTCACAGTCGCGACACTAGCGTCTGCTAGCGGATGTGCCCTCCTGACGACGCGCGAACATCTACTGTTCGTCTGCGCATGCGCACCGCCTAGAGTTGCCTGATAACAGGTACCATGGATAAGCTGAGCGTACATCGCAATTGCAACTTTTTCGCAGCTTTTACAAAGGTCAACCGAATTCAGTTTGTAAATGTAGAGATAAAATTATTTTCGACATAGGTCCTCGACAATTTCTGTCACATTATCTATGGCCTTACTAGCCTTTCAATTGTGGTAATTAATTTCTTCATTATGTATGCAGACGTATATAATTAAATGATTGAACGTGAACCCTTTGTTATTACATTACAGCCAAAATAAATATTTTAGATTAAAATTGAAAGATGCAATTTTATTATAGCATTTTAGTAGAAAAATTATTAATATATTAATTAACACTTTTTATTACCGTTCTATATACAACTCATCTAATTAGGATACATAGGATCTGTAGACGATACTACGATTAAAAATATTATTTTTGTACCAAAATGGAAATAGACGAAATAGTATTTTTTATTTAAATAAATTTTATAGTTAGTTTTTATATTTGTATAGATTCTAGTCATCGCTCAATAATACGCTTTCAACACTGTCAATATTTAATATAACTAATGTCAATACATTTAATAAATACATAGACCCACAGACAATAATAAAATACATTATTTAGGTTTTCTGATGTGATGTAAATTAAAAAATACCAAGAGTATTTTTTAATTTACATTATACATATTATTTAGAAGGCTGTTAGAATTTTAAAGGATATATATAGAAAATTAAATACTAATAGTATTACATTTAGCTCTTAATAAATATTGTTATGATATCCCATAAATAAGTTTTATTTGTCCTTGACTCTCTATTAAACATACATTTTCACTAATATATTTTTATATACTAACAATACAACCTAAGGGAAGGCTAACAATGTAACAGGTCAGGTCTATATTACCGTGGTAGTTCCTGGAAACAATGGATAATTTCATGGAAAATTCTATCAAGATATTCTGCCTTCTTGCTCTATATATCATCCTCCACCGCTAGCTTGATATGCTGTTTTTCATGGATTAATTCAATAATGGCATATTAATATTATAACCGCGAAAATTTGTAATTATGGATGGATAGATGGGTGGATGTTCGTTACTCTTTGCCGGAAAAATTACTCATCGGAATTTGATGAAACTTTATGGTAATATAGCTGAAGCCGTTAAGATACCACCATCTGATGAGACAGAGGTATTGAGGGTTTTATGGGGAAAAATACGAAGAAAACCGACTAACACGACAGCGATATGTAACAAAATGTTGCAAAAAAGAATATGTTAAATAATATCATTAATAAAGTTAAAAATTATATAAAATTCATCAATGACTTCGTTAAAATAGCTTATATATTAGAATAACATATAGGCTACAAATTTCATGCGGGTAAAACCGCGGGAATAGTTAGTGGTATATAATACCGTTATTATTGCGCCATACCATATTCGTCCATTAAAAAATGACCCGTCGACACTGAGAAAACCACGACAGATCATGACAAGAGATCGTCGAGAAACCCTGAGATGCATTTTATTTATAGATGATTATATGATTTATATAATCAATCCTAGGCCTCCATACATAAATAGTATTTGTCACGAAGTTCATCGACTTCTCAGATGCGTGTTATAAATAAAATATCCACTGGCGTCTCTGTTGGTTTTTATTTAAGCAAATTTTTATTTTTTATTGAAACAAGATCTTGTTTACGGAAATATGGTTTATGAAATTAAAACTCAATCACGACTAAAATGCAAGCCTTCGTTATGTTACAATTTAATGTTTTATTTCTTAAAATTGTTAAATATATACACATAAAAAACACACATTTAAAAATATCGAATTTAATTATAATATAACATAGATTTAATAAAAAAAAAGCGGCATTAATATGTACCAATTTCGCTTTTTTTACGATGTATCATATGAAATACAATAATTTGAAGAAGACTAAGTAAATAAGAATTAAAATTAAATGAGTCTATCATCTTTACTGTTTTGTTTGTAATCAAAGAGTAGATAAGATTATGCAGATTTATAATAATAAAATTTAATAAGTAGGTACATATATATATTCATCTCACTCTCGCATATGTATACTGCGTTGTGGTTTGGTACAGCCAAATTGTATATCTGAGAAGTACATCACTATTATCATCATCAACCCACTACAGTTCACTGGACATAGGCCTCTCCCAAGCCACGCCCCTTCTTCGATCGATCTTCAGCCCTTCTCTTCCAGTTACTACCCGCAACCCTATGTATGTCGTCGCTCCACCAAGCTGCGGGGCGTCCTACACTGCGTTTGCCATTCGCGGTCGCCACTCTAGAAGACACCTACGCGAGCATCGCTTCTGCGATAGATATGATAAGGAATGCACTAATGATGTGCTACTTACAGCACCCGTTTAGAGAGACCACCTGTGGTACATAAATACTTTGTATACATTGTTATATTAAATATTATGTCTAAGTCACTTTTATGTTTTATGCTCAGGTGCAGTACACATACTATGGGCCTATTAACCTATTAAAGCTGATGTGTAGAACTATAGACACTATGTGACCCCGACCGCAATTTCAGGAGCTAGGGCACATCAATCAATGTTATCAGTCAGCTAACTTGTATGGGCATTATTATTGTCACAAAACTATTTATAAGTCGGCATAAAAAGTAAATAATATAAAATTTATTTACTAACATTATTGTATTTGTAATAGGCATGTAGATGTAGTGATATAACTCCATAACAAAAAAAATATTTTCCTTTTTTGCCTTAGGAATGATAAAGGGATTGTCTGTCACCGCATGCTGTCACTATACGAAAAAAATATTAATATACCTACTTATAAAATTGTATAGTTTTCTATAATATGAAGTGATGTTATAATGACCATTTAGATTATTATAATTATAATATAATGGAGATAAAAGTTTATAGCATAGCATCAAATATCTTTAGAACAAATTTATAAGGATATTTAAATTAAATTTATAGGAAAAGAGAATGCTAATGCTAAGGCTACTGTTATTATATTTTATAGTGTAATGATTATGCTATAAAACATATCAACCATCTATTAATATAAATAAATCAATATATATTTAAAAGAGTATCACACAAGTTTCTTACTTATTCTTCTTGTGATGAATCTGCATTCCGAATATGCAGGTAGAATAAAAACACTTGACTATTAAAAGTGCTTATATAATAAAATGGTAATTTTGCAACCATATAATATCAAAAGTCAAACTTCTTTAGGATTAAATGGCGCTGTATGAATGTCGGGAGTTATTATTATATTAATAAAAGATCAATATTGTCTACATGTAAACATACCAAATCATGTTGACACATTTCATGATTTACACAAAGAAAACAAAACCAAATTCTTTTACCTAGTTTACGGAAAATGGTGCAATGAATTAATTAATGAAAATAGTGTAATTAAAACGAAAAAAGATATCTGACACAAAAGTCATTTGTAATAATATTTAGTTTAAGATTAAGACTGGCATTTACAAATAACAACGTACATAATTCGTTCGACAGTTAAATAACAACGTTCATTCTCGAAAGATAGGGCGGTGTAATTTGCAATAAACTACGAGCTTTCCTTGAAATTCATTTACTACCTTACTTGCGGTATCCCTAATCATAATCATTGCACACAACAAAATTATAACAAAGTCAAAACAGCGTAATAAATATTTTGGAAATCTAGTTTATAAATACGTACGACAGCTGGAAAACAGATTCCTGTAATAGAATAGAAAACAATAAGGGTAAATCAGTCAGTAAAGTAGTGATTAGAACAGATCGTCCCTACAAGCAGTACTCGTTTACAAGTATCGGCAACGGTTGAACCACTGTACTCGACTACGAGTATATTTTTATCCAGGGATACCTACATAGTATTCGCACTTTACATAAGAACGCATGTGACAATCAATGCAGAAAACCACATATATAAATCTATATAAATCTTTATATGTTTTATTGAAAACATATTTTTTACGAGATATTGTCATCTTTTATGAATTTGTCTTCTATGATTTGGAATTGACAGATTCCACTTTCGGAAACTTAGTATTAGGAACAGGTCAAACAAAATCTTAATTTATTAAGTAATGTTACAAATTTGAAAATTGAACTGGAACACATTATAGATATAAATTAGAGATATAAATTTGCGTACAAATTCTTTGTTTATGACTGAAATAAATAATAACACTTACATAGAGATTACATTAAGTTATTTGCGTTTACTCTAACATCCATCAGAAAGTAATGAGAATATATTTTATAGAAGATATATTATTGTCTATATGTAATAATACTACCGGAATTACAATTAAGAATTACCTCATACAAATGCCATTATATACTTATGATATGATGTTTTAATTAACTGTTGTTTTGATTAACTTATTCACTTCCTGCACTCAAGTAGGTAAGAAGAGCGAGTGAGATCTCTATCAAAAAGAATATTTTTATCAATTGGATTATTAGGCACGTTGGTGGAAATAAAAAGTACAATATAATGCCGATACGTTTAAAATGAATTATTTTTACTATGAGTAACATTAATTCTATATACAATGTATTCAAAATTTTATAACCATCTATGGGAATTTTATGAACATACTATATACTTGAACCAATAAAGACAAAATTACATTTATTATCCAGTGTTCAATATTTCCATCATGGATATTACAAGTATTTGCATTCTAGAAATGCGACATAAGACGATTAACGAAAGTAAATGAATCTAGAAGAATCTGATGATAAATGTGGTATCTAATAGATTTCACTTCGTGTATAATTGTAAAAATTAACAAAATAAATTATATTAAAATATTACTGTGACCACAGATAACATAATATTACATATACGATCTGTTAGTACTATATTGTTAAGTTGGGTAACTTAGTATGTTTCTTGTTGATTCAATATTGCTGTATAAGATAGAACTGTGAAATTTCGAAATCG